AAAAAAAAAAAAAAGAAAGAAAGAAAGAAAATAAAATAAATAAATAAATAAATAAACTGACAGACACAAAGCCTTTTGCCTGGGAGGCCTCGCGATTCCCACACTTGGGAGCAACAGGAGTTGTCTGGAGCAAGGTCGGTAAAGGTCCACAGCCAGCCTAGTGAGCAGGTGACAGCAACCTTATCCTGCCCGTGTTTATCTGCTGTCTTAACCAGGACTAGATAGATGGATGGATAAATATCAAAATCTATCTATATCGATAGAGAGTATAGACACAGATATATGGCTCTAGGATCAATTTTGAGAGCCTTTAGCGTTTAAAGAGATTGTGAAGGTGGTCACACCCCAGGGCAGAGGCAAGGAATAACGGGATGAGCAGTGTGCTCTGCACAGGGCTAGGGTTGACCGTGATTCTCTAGGGAAGGTTGGAGTCCCTAGGAACTGCCATATATTACAGTATAGTCTTCTGGAAAATAGGCCTGTTGTAGTTACTTAGAGCTGGGAGAGATCTCAGAACCCATCCAGCTGCGTCCTCTCGATTCGTAGATGAGAATCATGAGGCCCAGAAAGGTAGATGACTTGCCTGAGGCTGCACAGCTAGCTTGAGGTCATGGCGAGGGAAGAATTTAGTTTTCGAAAGTTTTGTTCCAGTACTCTTTTCCATAATTCTTTAAAGTTGCATGCCCTGTAATTCTTCTGGAGACATTATGGGGAATTTTTTCCAGAGTGAAACCTAGAGGGAGGAGTTGGTTGAGGCAGAAATAAAGTCCATGATCTTTCTTTCTCTCTCTCTTTCTCCTTCTCTCTTTCTTTCTTTCTTCTTTTCTTTCTTTGATGGAGTTTCACTCTTGTTGCCCAGGCTGGAGTGCAAGTGCAATGGCTGGATCTCTGCTCACCGCAACCTCTGCTTCCTGGGATTCAAGCGATTCTCTAGCCTCAGCCTCCTGAATCGCTGGGATTACAGGCGCCTGCCACGACGCCTGGCTAATTCGTTGTATTTTTAGTAGAGACAGCGGTTGCCTTATGTTGGCCAGGCTGGTGTCAGCCACCACGCCTGCCCAAGGTCCAGGATTTCCTTGTATCCTTACCACCCTCCAGATTCCACAGAGAGCGCTGGCAACCCTCTAGGGTCCATTTCAGAGGGGCCACATCCAAAGATGAGGCTACCATATAATTTATCATCAAAATCATGCTTTTAAGAGTGAAAGGGAACCCTATTAATACATTGTCCTTGTCCCCCTTTTCATATAAAATCTTTCTTTTATTTTTTATTTCTTTTGTTGGCCTGATTACATATAAGACTTCAACAGTAGGGAATGTTTGCTCTTTGTGTTTCTTTTCTGGCCATTTGTTCCATCTCATGGTTACTGCTGAAACCAATTGTGTTGCCTAGCATAGGAGGGAATGCTAAACACCAGTCCTCTCCAAGTGCCAAATACTCTATGCCTTCTGGGACAAGCCACTCCAAGGCCCAGGAGTGTTCCTGAGTTTCAACCTAAATTTCCTGGGTAGGATAATTATCACCTCTTGCTTGGATTTTTGTACAAGTCTCCTAACTGCTCTCCCTGGGTCCCTTCTCTGCTTCCTTCCCCACCTGACCTCCTCCTCTTATCAACCACATAACTTCCAGAAGGATCTTTCTAAAATAAAATCTGTTTATCTCAGTTCTCTGTTAAAAAGGAGTCCCCAACCCATTAGGTAGGACACAGAAAACAATGGTCAAGAGTATGACAACCTAGATTTGATTTCCAGATTTATTATTTATTTGTTATGTGACCTTGGTTAAGTTACTTAACCTCTCTGTGCCCCAGTTTTTGTATTTGTAAAATGAGGGTAGTAATAATACACATAGTGGGATTTCTGTATCTGTGGGATCCACATTCAGGGATACAGGAAGCATAGATGAAAAATATTATTTAAAAAACTGTACTGAACATGTACAGACTTTTTATTGCTATTGTGCCTTAAACATACAGTACAACAGCTATTTACATAGCATTAACATTGTTTTAGGCATTTATGAGTAATCTATAGATGATGTTAAGTATACAGAAGCATGTGCATGGATTATATGCAAATACTACACCATTTTCTATAAAGAACTTGAACATCCATGGGCTTTGGTATCCAAGGGAGGTCCTGGAACCAATCCCCCACTAATGCTAGGGATGACTGTACTTATTGTATAGAGTTATTGTGAGGATTAAATGAATTAATACACATAAAGTGCTTATACCAGTGCCTGATGCAGAATAAGTGATTTCAATGATTATACAAGATAAAATCCTCAATCCTTACTTAGCCTGCTGTCCTAGCCCATCCTGGAGCTGACTTCTGCTAACCCCTCTAGTCTTGTCTCTCCCTACACTGTAGACAAAACTTAGGACTTGTTCCCCAAGCCCTGTCTGTCCCTCGCTCCATGCCTTTGCACCTGCTGTTTCCTCTCCTTCCAGATTTTTCCTTCTTCCTCTCCTGGGCCACATAACAAATGTGTACCCTTTTCTCAAGACACTCAAGGTCACTCCATCTGAACCTCCCACCCCCAACCTGTGCCACCATGCCAGCAGGGTTGATCCTATACCTTTTCCTATCATATTTCAAGGCATTTTATTGTATTTATTTGTTTCTATGTTTGCATTTCATCCTGTGCGGTTACCTCCTTGAGGACAGGAACTGTTTTTTAATCTTTATATCTGCAGTTCTCACTACATTTCGTGATACAGATCAAGCACTAATGAATGTTTCTTGAGCGACTGCATGTCCCTCCTGGTTTCAGGATTCCTTAGTGTCTTCTTGTCTCCTAGTAGCATAACTAGACTAATGACAGTCTGCAAGGAGGAAATTCAATTTTAAAATAACCTGAAAATAGACTGAGAGTCAACTCCTGCATATACCTTCTTTCCTAGCCCCAAGCACTTGACTTTGGAAATCCGATCTGGGAAAGGTATGATTATTATTAAACACTATAGATATTGGAATAGTAATTGTTTCTTTTACAACTTTCATGAATGCATAAGGCTTAGGGTTCAGTAGTTCAGCAGGATCTTTAAAATGAAATAAATGTGTTTGCTTGAATGAAATATTTATATTTCTTAGTAACATGACTTTAAAATATTCTAAATTAAATTTCTTGAGATCTATATACAGACTTCCCCTTTGCTTTTTCTTTAGTCTAAACGGGTGAAAAGCTACAGAAATAAAATAATGCATAATAATAAGAAAAGCATAGGAAACTTTTCTTAGTTGGAGAAATATTTTTCTTCTTATGAATAACTCAAAATTCCTTGCATGTTACGAAAGAAAAAAGGCTGCATTGGAATCTGTGGCCTCCAAAGACCCTGCACAGTTTTTTCCTAATACCTGATAAGAAAATTCTAGTTGATTGTCAGTAAAGAGGGGTATATTACTCTTAAAATCCAACTTTTTAAGCCATTGTATTTCTGAATGTTTGGATAGTTGCTATTTATAATTACACTTATTAGAAGTAAACTGGAAAAAAATCAAATTTTGAAGAAACTCTTCCTATATGCCTACAGACAAGTATATTCATAAAATACATCTGCTAATAATCTGACAAGAAGGTTTTAGCTCCAGGGTGCCTTGACAAATTATTCCCTTCAAGCTGTTTGGTAAATATGTGTCCCAAAAGCTATAGAACAAATGTAGTATATCCAGACCAAAAAACAAATAACCCACAACAAACAAACAAACAAACAAAAACAAAAAAACTACACATCCCTAGTTAAAAGCAATACCTTTTTTGGAATGCTGATGATTTCTTTGCATAGCTGTCAGCTTATAATTTACAACTTTTAAATTCTACCTAAAATCGACAAACAATTTTATCTCCAAGACACTGAGGTATAAAATAAAGTTGATTGAAATGTAGAAACACATTGAATCTGTACTTACCTACAACTTCTTCCCAAGGAAAAGACAGAATCTTCCACTCACCATCCCTTCCCCTCCTCAAGTACCCAAGTACCATTACCCATATAATAATGCAAGTATACTTCTTCTCCTTCTCCTCCTCCTCCTCTTCTTCTTTCTTTCTTCTTTCTTCTTCTTCCTCCTCTTCTTCTTCTTTCTTCCTCTTCATCTTCAGACAGGGTCTCACTCTGTCATCCAAGTTGAAGTGCAGTGGTGCGATGATGGTTCAAACTCTCCTGGCTCAAGAGAGCCTCTCACCTCAGCCAGCTGAGAAGCTGGGAGTACAGGCATGAGCCACCACACCTTGCTAACTTTTGATAGTTTGTGGAGAAGTTTCACCATGTTGCCCAGGCTTAATGCAGGTATACTTCTTATTGGTGTGAAAAATAAATTCTGCATGTATGTATAGAACAAGAACACTACCATATCCCTCAGAGGCATAGATCTAATTAACTTATAAATATGTTTAGTCTTTAAACTATGTCTGTTCTCAAGTCTACACTCATTATGAAATTGGAATAAAATTTCCAGAATGTGTTGCACATGGGTAAGATGTTTGAAAGACATTCTGAGTTTTCAAAAGAGAAGAACCTTCCATTTCTGCCCTGGAAACTGAAGGCTGGTTTATGTTGTTACATGCTAAAAGAGTGTGTTTTGTCTGCTACAATTTAGGTTTTGGTCACTAGCGGAGCTCAAAGGCAGACTGTCTCTAAATAAGAACAGATGGGTAGAGATCCTTGCTAAGGCCTGGATTCCAAATCCAAGTAGTTATAGTAACTTCGATAACACAGTTGTGAGGTCACTGAGGTTGTGGTATTTAAATCTATTCCAAGTTGTAATGTACAGAAAGTCTTTGTGAAAAGCCCTCGTTTAGACTGAAAATATTCAAATTTGCTCTCAATTCCAATGTGGGCACTTTTGCTGTTGTTGTTATTGTTGTTGTTACTATTATTAAATCATTAAATTTTTCCATTTGGAAAAAGTCCAAGAGTCTCCACTTGGAAATGACGAAACCTGACCTTGTTTGTAACTCAGTACTTC